ATGAAATAATTTTGTTTCTAATTCAAAATTCAGAATTCGGGCTTTTAAAGATGCACATGTTCGAGCGGAAGACTGCGTGTGTTCAAAACTGGGTGGCTCTAAGTGCCGCTGTTTTTCCTCAAAGCAAGGAACATATTTCATTGTATAATAATATTGTAACCTAATAAATATTAGGTTCGTTAACTAGAATAAGTTTTGAATGAAACTTCGTTTTTTAAGATTAAAAAATTTCTAAAATTCGGCTTTCAGAAAAAATTGCAACATAAATAATTCCTTCTACACAGCAACATCGGCCACTATTTTGATTCACCAATGATGCTTGACCCTATATTACTTTTTCTTCCTTCAAGCTCATATTAGAATTTTGGAATTACTACTCCTTTACATTTATAAAAAGAAAAAGCAGACATTTTCTGCTGCTGAAATATTATTATAAATTCTTTGATCGAAAAAGGATATATATATATATATATATGGAAGACTATATGTGTTCGAAATTTGGTGGCTCAAGGTGCCGTCGTTTTTCCACAAGGCGATTAAATTCAAACGACAAATATATTGCGTTTTGTTAAGTGGCAACACACTTCTTTTATATACCACATAGAATTTTTAAGTAAATCTGACGTATAAATATCCTACGCTTTCCAGATTGCCAACATAAAGCTTTTAAATCGCTGAGCTTTAGCAAATGTTCATTAAATCCGCATAAAATATGAAATGATTTTGTTTTTAATTCGAAATTCAGAATTCGGGCTTAAAGATGCACATGTTCGAGTGGAGTACTGTGTGTGTTCAAAATTGGGTGGCTGTAAGTGCTGCTGTTTTTCCTCAAAGCAAGGAACATTTTTCATTATGTAATAATAAAAATTGTAACCTAATAGATATTAGGTTCGTTAAGTAGAATAAGTTTTCCATACTGGTGGACAAAAACTTTACGAAATATTCAAGCCTTCCACTCTTTCAAAATCGAAATTGCTAATATTTTTTACTTTGATGTTGAATATCACGGAAATAAAAACTATCGAGTGTACAAAACAAAGAAGAATTAAATGGTTATTTCTTTTTACGTTGTGCAACAAAAATGCGTGCTTTCAATGCTAGTTGATATTTACGTCCGTTTTATATGCAATCAACGCACATAAAATTCCTCCGATATGACTTTTTTTTTTCCAGTATTAGAAAATGAAGAAATAAAAAATGAATCCATAAATAAACAACATCGAGAATATTATGCACATTCAGCATTATAAAAAATCACTATTAAACTTATAGGGGCAACTACTGCCGATTTGAAACATATCGTCAAAATAAGGTAAAAAACAAAATGCTGAAAATCTTGGAAGGAAGATTACTAGATCGATACATACGCATCCCGCTTACTCAAAAATGATGTTGTTGCTTTTGTCTTAATTACTCGTTATTTGACGCTTAAGCGCCAATGGTAGACACCCGTTAACCGAAAAGTTCAAAATAACATTAAAATTTTCATTGAATTTCATTTGAATGGCTATCGACCGCAAAAATTCTTATTAGGACTTCCAGGTTATTTTCTTTTAACCGCAGAGAATCAAAATTAAACAGGCTACAATGCACTTCCAAAAAATCTGTCTGGTGTATAGCTTAACACCAATACTTTTTGCAACTTTTCCAGTTTCCCCTCTTCCCTCCCCCCCATTTTGGTACCTCCCATGAACATTTTAATTATTTTATAGAAATATCCCTTCCCTTTTGCCAAAAGAACAAATATATTACTAGTTTCACACACAATCATTGTCTTGAAGGGAGAACTGAATTTTTATTTAAAATCTTGTTTTGCTAACAGATATATATAAATTAATAAAAAAAGCAAATTTTATGTACCTTCCTTCGAATGTGCGTCGGTTCAGCTTCCTGCTGAAAATGACGTTTTGAGGAATTAACTGCTATTTAAAGTCATTGATCTTTTACACACATTACTTGCAAAATACCTACATGCACCGAGATATAATTTTAGATTTTACGAGCAAAGAACATAAAAGTCCATTTTAGCATTAAAAATAATTATAATAATTGTTAATTAAATCACAAATGTGTTATTATTTTACAGATCATAATAATTTTTACAATTACTTCCTATCCAGAGGGTACGACTCAAGAATTTTCCAGTTCAGTAGTTTCGATAATGTATGGCTATAAATAAATATCCAGTTCCCTATTAAAAACTTTCTGATCCTTATTAACTTTCAGAATCTGTGGCTCAGTGTATTGTGACAGACATTCATTCATTCATCTGGTATATTGATTGTCTATCATCATTCTGGTATCCACTGCTACATCTGAACTTTTTAACAATGAATAAATACTTTTTTTAACAATGAATAAATACTCTTTTTAACAATGATTTTCGGTACTCAGGTGTTAACGGAGGAATGGCCGACTTTTTGGCGGTAATTCGATACAATTAGTTTTTCTTTATTTCGGAAGGAAAATGTAGCTTCGAAGGCTTTCTTACAAGGAGCTACAATTTTCTACCGCCACACGAAATCCGCTAATCGAGTTTTGCTGTTCATGATTGAAAAATCCATAATCGAACTATAAACTTCGAAAAAAAAAATTTCGTTCTTGAAACTGCAGCTTATAAAACTTAGCGATGTCATACGGTTGCATACGATCATTAATTTGTGCTGTGGTGCCAAAGTTGGCAACTCCTCGCTCCTTTTTGGCGAATTTTGGCTTTTTCTCTATTAACACGTAAGTATCTGAATTTCTATGTTTTGGAGAAAGGAAGAGGGAAGAAAGAATATAAAAGTCGGAATAATTCTCCTCTCCCAACATCTAAAGGGCACAGTTAAGGGAGGAAAAAATATCTTTGGAGATTTTATTTTGCATTTCAATGCATTCATATTCTTACATTTATTTTGCATACACTCATACTCTTACATTTATTTTGCATTTCAATGCACTCATACTCTTACATTTATTTTTGCATTTCAATGTACTCATACTCTTACATTTATTTTGCATTTCAGTATTCTCCTGCTCTATTATGCATTACAGAAAACTTCAGAGTAATATTAATTGGAAGAATTTACTGCACAGTAAAGTTAAATTCTTTGAATTTGAATATAGCAATGCACATATGAATGAATGCCTTTATAGAAGGCTTTTAAAGAGCAACTGTTTATATTGACATCACCAAGGCCGGTGCCAGAGCCACTGCAACTGCACCTGGCAGCAGAATTTAGAAGCGGCAAATGTTTTAGAATTTAGAGAAGCACTGAGCAACAAAATTTAGTTATGGGAAAAGTTTTAGATTTTAGGAGAGGCACTGTTCAGCAATATTTGGTGAAGGCAAGATTTTTTTAATTTAGGGAGACAGCAGAATTTAGAGCCTGCAGACATTGCACTCACTAAGCATCAAAATGCCTAGCACCAGTCCTACATATTGCCCATGTGGAAAGGCACAAAAACTAACTAAGCAGCCAGCCTGTTCATCTGGGATCGAACTCAGGTCAAATTCTCAGCATTCAGTGGCCTTATCCACTTGACCACTAGTGTTGTGATTGCATGTTAAAATATAATGTGTCTTTTTCAAAATCATTCAAAGATATTTCAAAATGACTCAAAAGTTGAGAGTATGTTCTATGAGAAATATACCACACTTTAGTGAAATATTATTTAGTGATCAAAGATTTTAAAGTATTTCAAAATGTACAATAATTTACTGGTCACAGAAATTGTCTCCTCACTCCTGAGAGAATGGAATATTAAATTATGACTACCTGCATTAATTAAATTGCATGTTATCAAAACTTCATTGTTGCACAATTTAAACAATTTTTATGCCATACTAATCAAAATTTGCATTTAAAATAGGGCTGCAAAAATTTTCCATTTTTCATATATTATTTCATTGTTTTAGCTCCAAAAAATCAGGAGCACTTCTTATGGTTGAGAATTATATCATATGACAATTCATTTTTATGAAATGGAAATACCCCAAAAACTATTGCCTTTTCTAATAAAACTCAATAGAATTTCTGCAGAATAGGAGTTTTTAGTTATTGAAAAAAACAGCTTTTTAAATAAAATAGATTTAAGCAGCAATAATAGTTTTATTTCTGCATCAAGTTTATTCCAACACAGCAGGTTTATTTTTCTCTATGTAGTATGTGATGTTTAATTTCAAGGTTTTTACATCATATGGAACATTTGTGTTTGTGAACATTTTCACCAAAAATTTTACCAGGAAATGAAACAGAAGGAATTTGGAACTGATGAAGATGAAATTCCTGCTATATAAGATCTAAACTATTTTTCCCCACTGTGCTTAAGTATTACGTGCTTCAATTAAAATGAATGAAAATCACATGTTTAGCCCATTCAACTGAAATAATGTGTATTAAACTCGCCACTCTTTTCTCATACAAGGTCTAACTTTTAGATATACCATATTAGATAATAACATATCCCAAGAAATCTGTAATATAATTTATAAAATTCATATTTCAATATGAAAAAAAAAACATTTTTTTTATATTTCAATATGAAAAAAAAAACATTTTTTATCATGCTGCTTGCTATAAGAATTTGTGAAAATTTTGTTTATTCTCTGTATGTTTTGAACTGGCATTTCAAAAATTGGATCAGAGTGCAATATTTTAATCTTGGGAGAAAGGATGAACAGTAGTTGAGATGTTAAGACCACTGAATGCTGGGAATTTGGCCCACGGTTCAGTCCCAAGAGAATAGGCTGGCTGCATGGTTGTAGGTCTGGCACTAGGAATTTTGTATGAACTTCGCTGATTAATTAAAATATGATGAACTCATATTGCCAAACCAGTTTTTAAAATTTTATTTACAGCTTAAAAAGTATATTTTATAAGTCACAGTTTAGGAGACACATCACCTTTCCACTACTCTAATTTAGGATAAAAGAAACTGCTATCAGATTTCGTCAACTTACCAAGAAACTAAAATTCAAATATAAAAAGGAAAAATTATTTAAAAAAAAAACTTACCATATACACTGACTTCCATAACAGCATGGATTGGAACATTTGTGTTGAGGCTTGGGCTGAGCTTGATTTCCCCAGTTGTCTCGTTGAGAATAAGGAGATTTGCATTATTTCCAGAAGCTATTTTATATCTCAAATGGTCAGTAACATCTGCATCAAAAGCCGGTACTTTCCCAATGGGCCCCACAGGAAAGTAATTCTTGTAATTATTGAACATTATTGTAAAATCTTTTAAGACAGGAGCATTGTCATTAACATCTGTGACATGAATTTCTACATCCACATCGTTCCTCAGAGGAGGAGAAGAAGCTCGCACTATGACACTGTATTTTTTAATGCGGGATTCATAATCCAGCTCTATGCGAGTCGTGAGCTCAGCTGCTTCTCCTGGCCTAGATACGAGATTAAAAGAATCTGCATCTGGTCCACCAACAATGCTGTATTGAATTTCAGCATTGGGACCTTCGTCTGGATCATGTGCTTTCACCTCGCCCACAGTTGAACCAATAGGACTGTTTTCAGGAATGGTCAACTTTAACTTATCAGATTCAAATCGTGGTGGATTGTCATTTACGTCTTCAACATAAATTGTTATGGTTACAGAAGTCGAGAGAGATGGCGAACCTCGGTCTACAGCATAGGCAACTAGATTATACAGCGATACAGATTCTCGATCTAAGATTCGATTCGTTCTTATGATGCCAGACGTCGGATCCACGCGAAATGCACCGTCTCCGTTGTCGCCACCCGTGAAAGTGTATCTTATCTGACCATTTAGTCCCAAATCTTTATCAGTTGCAAATATTTGAAGTACACTAGTACCTATTAAAGCATCTTCACTAACCGCACTCACATAAGAGTTCGGATCAAAATTAGGGGGATTATCATTAACATCTGAAATTTCTATTTCTACATTTGTAGTGTCAGCTAGTGGAGGAGAGCCATTGTCCATGGCAGTGACCACTATGGTGTAACCAGCCATCTCTTCTCTGTCCAGCAATCTCGTCATGACCACAGCTCCGGTAGCAGGATCAATTCGGAATTCTGGGACATCTTCATCCATAGAATAAGTTATACGAGAATTCTCTCCCACATCACCATCGGATGCCTCCACTACCAATACTGTTGTTCCAACTGGAGAATCTTCTGGAACACTGGCTGTATAAGGTGTGTGCTCAAAAATAGGCCTGTGAGTGTTGGCATCTGTAATGTTGATGTAAACAGTTGCAGTATCAAATCTTCCCCCAGAGTCCGTAGCAGTTACAGTCAAAACAAAACGCTTTTCTAAACGATAATCCAAAGGCTGCGCAACAGATATTAAGCCCTGCCTATTCTGACTTATTATATTGAACCGCCCTCTGACATTACCATTTGTTACCTGATAGATTAATCTAGGATCCTCGTCTCGATCAGTGGCTGTGACACTTATTACGGGTGTCCCTGGTGGATCAATTTCAGAAATAGAAGCTCCATATATTTTGGGTTCAAAAACTGGGTCATTATCATTTATGTCTTGAACTCTGATAATAACACTAGCTGTCGCTGACCTAACTGGGGTGCCATGATCTGATGCAAGAACTGTGAAATCATACATGGAGTTTTCTTCACGATCGAGAACACGGGTGGTCAAGATCCAACCTGAATCTTTATTTATAGAAATTGGCATATTAGGATACCTATTGCCTTGAATTGAATAAGATAGCAATGAATTATTACCATCATCAGCATCGTATGCTTGTACCCTAACAATGCTATGACCAATCGGGACATTTTCAATAACTGACTCCTGAAACAAAGATGTATAAAACTTTGGATCATTATCATTCACATCTTTGATTTTCACCAAAACTTGAGTAGTATTGGATCTGGCCGGAGATCCACCGTCCTGAGCCCTAACCACCAATCGATAACTTCGAGCTGATTCGTAATCGAGAGGAGAGACCACAGTTATTTCTCCACTCAAACTGTCAATCACAAAGTGGCCTTGAGTATTGCCACCAATCAACGAATAGCGCACAGCTGCATTCACAGCCGAATCTAAATCCACTGCTTCAACCTTAGCAATAACTGGGTTACTCAACCAATTAATATCCTCAAATATCTCAACTGTATAAGATTTCTCAGCAAATTGTGGGTAATTGTCGTTGTCGTCTAAAACAGTGATTTCCACTGTAGTTGTTGCAGTTTTTCTATCTACTACCAAACCCAAATCACTTGCTTGAATCAATAAAGAATAAAATGGCGTAGTTTCTCGGTCGAGAGAACTTCTTGTGGTGATAATCCCAGTTTTTGAATCTATCCTAAAGACATCATTGACACCGCTGGGATTAAGAATACTATATTCAATTTCTGAATTGGATCCTGAATCTTGATCAGTTGCCCTGACAGTGACGACTGTAGATCCAACAGAGGCAGATTCACGTATTGATGCCTCATACGTGTTCTGCTCAAATGATGGTGCATGATCATTTTCATCGCTGACATTGATTTGCAAAGTGGTTGTTCCTGTCTTCTGCGGAATTCCATTGTCAACAGCTGTCACTCTCAAATAATGAACATCCATGAATTCTCTATCTAAGCTAGCAGTAGTTGTAATGATACCTGTGACTGAATCAATGGTAAACATATTTTGGCTTCTTGCATCTAATACAGCATGTAAGCTATAGGTTACTTCATCTTTTTCTGGATCATGAGCTGTCATGGTAGCAACTACATATGCTTTTTCCTTTTCTTCGGGTACTGTAACAACATACAAGGCTCTGTCAAAGTACGGAGGTAAATTTTCTGCTCTTCGATTATCTCGTCGGCCTCTTCCTGCTCTCTTTTCTGCAACCAGATTACCAAATGACATCCCGGGAAGGTGAAAATTTATTTCCATGATGTGCTTGCTTATCTCAGGACTTCTGTCATGAATTAATGAGGGGCAGGAAAGAGTAAACGAAAAACTAACTGACCACCAAGGAGAACTTTCACAAAATTCTTCTCTAGCAACCAAATCTGATCCAAACACTTCTACCGCATACCTGATATCTGATGGCTGACCAAAATGAATGTCACATTGGTACAAAACTTCAGCTGGGATTGTTTTGTCTAGGTCTGCAATTAACTGACTCCTCATGAAGCAAGCTGTAGTAACAGTAGAGTTTCCAAAATAAATTATATCATTTTTCTCTTTTTCTATTACATGAGCTTCAGAAGTACTGATGGCAGATTTGGGAACTTTCGTCTTTTGAATTGAACCAACTGTTAGGAAAACAACATTTTCCCCAACATAGCTTACAGATTTTAGTCGGCGAAGGCGTGGACACGTGCGATGTCCAAAGCGCACCCTCACGGGGACGATCACGGATTCGATATCGGAACCACTCAGACGAAAGCTCCTGGACTCGACGTGAAAACCAAAAGGGTTCGGGGCAAGGTTCGCCAGTCGAGAAGTCGAACATTTCAGCGTCCGTCTCAACACTATTACACCACTTCTGGGATCTACACGTACGAGATGTCTGACATATGCTGGAGTCCGATCGGCATCCAGGCGGTACGTCCGGCCCGGACCCAAGCTAGCATTGAAGAACACGTATCCTAATTTGTTGTCCTCAGGTTTCACATACACATCGTAAGAGTATCCACAAGTTAGCAGGAAACACAAAATAAATAATACACAAGGAATGGAAGCATGGTGAATTCGTTCCAGAATTCCTGCACTAAGCGCCATACTCGCTCAGTAACAGAAGACCACTGAAAGGAACGAAGTGGCGGCTACCGCTGGCGGAGCGCCCCGCGTAGCCTAGGGCGATCCCCGAACGAGGGCGAGCGTCGTGTGTTAGGCTTACGACTTAACATCGCTCTGCAGCTTTGGCCGGTTGCCTTGGAAACCACTGTCAGGCACGCTCTCGAAGAAACTCGCAAACGTAAACGAAACTTTCACATGAAATACAATGATCTGCTAAGAACACACAAATCGTTTGCTGCGGAATTCAAAAAGATGGAAATTCCTCTCGCACACTATTTAATCAAGCGCTGTCCGTTTAAAGAGAATTTCCAACGACTCCCGGTGGATGACCTGTTCAGCCTCGAACTGACGCCGCCGAACTGGCTTCCCACCTGCCCACGGGGGTTGCCAGATCGAATTTGAAACTCATTTCATCGCCAATATCACCGCCGGGTGTAGAGAAATAAATTCACGATCACAAGGATTTCATTTTTGCACGAAAATAAAATTGCTTCGTTCTTTTAAGTGCGACTGCTCCGTTCACAACCGAGAGTTTTAATATCCCAATACTTAATATTAATTTTGCCTGCATAGAGAGGGAACAGAAAATTAACTGGATTTGTTTTCAACACGGAAATTGCAAGCCGTACATATTTTATTAGGGGAACAAACGAAAATGCAATCTGAAAACTTATAAGTGTGCAGTATTACTAAGTAAGACGTCGAACATATGAGAATAACATTAAAGCATTTATAATTTAAATCAATAAATAAAAAATAAGACAAAATATCTTACAAATATATTTTTTTCCCCGTAAATAAAACTAATGTACAATGTCACTAAGTAATAAAATAAAATTTTTATTGTTGAATGACATGGAAGCTAGTCTATATATTACTACAAAACTTCATCGCAACAGTTATATATTATCTTTAGAGCAGATGATAATGTACACAAGAAGTGGAGTCACAAATTTTGCAATCGACCATTTATAGGGTGTTAGATATGTGTTTCTTTTGTAATTGTGGAATAAAACAACATTTGATATGAAAAGTTAAGCACCCCAGTGAAAATTATTTTTTAAATGATTAGCTTAATGCTGTGTTCAATAACGTGCTTTTAGAAGAGATCTTATTCGCCGCCGATTGGCAAAAACGTCTATTCATAGCAGGCCAGTTTTCAAAATATTAAAAAGTGAGAAAGCCAAAAAAATTTTCACGCTGCTCACTATTGTGGCTAATAATAATAAACAAAAGATATGATACTGTTATTATCACTAATAACAATAAAAAAACTTTCCATTTTCCCCGAGGCTGCAATTATTTATTGTAACGTGGAAAAGAATATGAAATGCAATTAGCTTTTCCCTGGAATAAATCCGATTTCAATATACAAACATTTAAACTTAAACTAAGAACATTTTATTATTTGATATCAAGTGCATATCCTTTTATATATATGTAATACAAGTTCTGACGTGGATGACGTACGACGTAATGTAACTGCAGGCATAGCCGATTCACTTTCTTTTCGTTCCTTTTTTGTAGCCCCAAGAGCGTTAGCCCAGAAGGGTTATCAATTTCGTTTTGGCATTTTGCGTTGAAAACTGTAAATGTCGATCCATTTTTCAAATTGTTGCCACCAAATATTAGAGCCCTGTATTATATTTAAAGAAATTAGATAATAAAGAATCTGCATAAATGTATATATGTTTCTCGCATTGAGATAAAGCAACGGAACCTAGAACCATCAAATTTTGGAATAACGTACGTTTCCACCCGAATATGGGCATTTGGCATTTGGGATTTGTTTTATTATCTATTTCATATTCTGAAAAACTTTAATGAGTTTTTGATTAACAAACTTAACGATTTCAAAGCGAGCAATCACTATACTGTACGAAATAAAAAAAAAAAAATAAAAAAAAAAGTTTGTCTTCAGCGCGCGAAACTATGTATCGGAAATTCTAGAGATATGCTCATTTTAAAATTATTTTGCGATATTGCTCCTGAACTGAATATTATGGTTTAAGTGCGAAGAACGTGATATTATATAAATAAAGGTAACACACAAAATGTCAAAACACGCCCCTTTGGGCGTAATTTAAAATATGAAAGCTTTTAGACTTTTTTTTAAAATTTCTTTACTTATTTTTCTGACCTTCCTCAAGGCTCCGGCGCTTCTAATTTTAGAAATTGAATCGTGCTTGGATGTATACATACTCGAAATAAAAGTGTTTTCTCTAAAATTTCCATCTACTCTGTATCAAAATATAAATCACCTTCAGTTTCCCGGAAGAGAAATCTTTGTTCAGCCACTGCAACTTCAAATTTTGAAACATTTTTACAGAGTCTTTTTAAGTAGTGTAGTGTTACGTTGCTCTACGCTGTTGTGTAGTGTCACGTTGCTCTACGCTGTTGTGTAGTGTTATGTTGTTGTTGTGATGTCGTTTATCATCTAAGTCTTTCAGCAAATATTGCTAATTGCTACTGTAATATTTTGCATGTATATTCCACATGGAAACTCGAAAAGGTCCGTTTTCAGAAGGTTGCCTTTCGACGTGACTCAAAATCTTTAATTTATTTTTAAAATTTAATGATTCTATTAATAATTAACTAACGGAGTTGTTTAAAAGCAACAGATGCACTTTTTTATTGATTTAATATCTTTAATTTATTTTTAATAATGCATTATCAAACTGATACACTTTAAAATGCATTTCATTTCCTATCAAATAATGAAGAATTTGTATATGTGTATGCACGTTCCTAGCATTGTGGAAAATTGAGATTAGAAAATTGTGGAAATTTTGGAATAATTCCTAGCATTGTGGCTAGGAATAATTCCTAGCATTGTAATGCTAGGAATTATTCCTAGCATATTCCTAGCATATTACAATATTCCTAGCATATTACAATGCTAGGAATAATTCCTAGCATTGTAATTGTTTTGGAATAATTCCTAGCATTCCTAGCACAATTCCTAGCATTGTGGAAAATTGAGATTAGAAAATTAGAGCCACTAAATTTTGAACCCATATAATTTTCTACCCGAATGTATGCTCCTCGAAATCCGCATTTTAAATTTCGAATTTGTTTTTTACTTAATTTATATTTTATATAAATTTAATACACGTTTGATTAAAAATCAGCGATATAAAAAGTATTGCCACTCTGCAAAGCGTAAGATATTTCAAATTTAATCAGAAAACACATCGATATGGAAGAAATGTGTCGCAACTCGACAAAACGCAATTCAATTGTCTTTCGAACTTAATCAATAAACTCAGCCATTTAAAAGGAATGTGTTAGTACTGACAGAATTAATGTATTTTTATCCTCCGCGCGGCAGTGTGTTGTTGTCGTTCAGCGTAAGATAATATTTAACTTTTCTTTCAAATTTATTAGCTGCTATTAATGAATAAACTAAGCGATTTAAAGATCATTTCTATTATTATTAATTATTAGTTGGGTTCGTGAAATTACATTAGTGGGTTTTATTAAAATCATTACATATGATTTTCTTTTTTTATAATAACTACTTTAGGTGGCTAGTTTATAAGACACCCAACTGGTAATTTTCATGAGCAGTTACAGTATTGTTGCATTTAACTAAAATTCTGGAGCAGAATCGTCTGGTTTTAATCAGACTTTGAATCACAAACACAGGGTATATTGAACCACTACTTTCCGATAACTGGTTCTCATGTTTTCATATTTAGGTGTAGCGATGCTGAAAAATATTTTTTTCTTGCAGATAAATGCTTATTTAGGAGGCATGAGCAAGCATTCTTACTTAGGTAAACTGCAATAGGTTCCCATCTACCCAAGGAGTGTCAAATTTTGGAAGGAAATGGAAGAAAGCTTCACCACCCTAAAACCCTATTTTGTTGTTCATAGTTCCTCCATAGAAAACATAGGAAGTTTCTCCCATGAAGTAAGTTCTGCTCCCTGTCCACCGCTCATGAAAGTAAGCAGAATTCCGTTCAACCTACTTTTTGTTAACCGAGGGAGTCATTCGGAGAAACTAGTCATTTTCTATTTGTTTGTAGAGTCATTATGTTCTTTAGAGCCGGCAAACACGTAGAATCAGCAGTACTTTTGGATTCGAACTACAGAACTTCCGACTGCACCACGAAAACACGCAATAAACAGGGAGAAAATACATTACATTCTCCCCCCTTAAAGAGCGATTAAATAGGCTGCGAGCTAATACCAAATAATAGCGGTGTTGAATTATCTCCTCATATTTTATTTCAGGCACCAATGCAGATTCACTTGGATTTCTAGAGCCGGGAAACATGAGGTACCACTTGTGTCCTCGCTGGGATTTGAAATTAGTACCTTTCAATTGCTAGCCGGCCAGGCTTCAGTTACACTACGAAAGCATGCGGTAAGGAAGGAGAAGTTACCCGATAAGTTTGTAGAGCTATTAGATTATTTGGAAGCGAGAGTCATGAAAAATGAGCAACACCTTCGCCGAGAATCGAACCACGCACCTCTGGAAACGCACCCAGCGTGCAGACCACTACACCACGAAGGCAGGATAAGAAGGCGGGAGAAAAAGATAAGAAGATAAGAAAGTGGGAGTTAACTTAACTTTCTTTTTTTAGCCCAAAGGGCGTTAGCCCAGAAGGGCTATTAATTTCGTTTTGGCATTTTGTGTTAATTCACTGTAAACAACGAATCACTTTTTGAATTGTTGCCACCCAATATTAGAACCCTGTATTATATTTCAAGAAATGAAATAATGAAGATTCTGCATAAATGTTATGTATGCTTCTCGAATTGTGGTAAAACAACAGTATCTAGAGCCATCAAATTTTGAATAACGTACGTCTCCACTCGAATAGGGGCATCTGGAAGCCCGAATTTGAAATTTGTTTTATTATCTATTTCATATTTTACAAAGCATTTATGAGTTTTTGATTAAGGAACTCAACGATTTCAAAGCAAGCAATGGGAAGCGGAGTATGGGAGGCGAAAAAGTTATCTCTAGCGCGAGAGACTGTATATCGGGAATTAAATATTTTGTTATATTGCCGTTGAATTGAATTTTATGGTTTAAGTGCGAAGAACTATTAATAATTACGAAGAATTATTTAATAAATAAAGACAACCGACAAAAAAAAAAGGGCTTTTTCTGTAATTTTAGAAGCTGAATTCGAAAATGCCGTTAAAATTAAGTACCACGCACCATTTCTTCACAAAAGCTTGCTCTTCAGTATCACGCACCAAGTACAATAATGTTTGTTGACGCCAGTGGTCTCAAACTGCTGAGCCCCCGGAATCAATTTTTACGCAACCCGTATATTTCCCGTAAAATAATTGCCAATCTTAATTATGGAAAGAATTTGGT